AATTACACGATTTATCTATGTATGGGTGAGATGAGGGGGCAATTTTACCTGATTATTGATCCGGTTATTTCTCATTACACAATTTATCTATGCTCGGTTAAGAATTACACGATTTATCTATGTATGGGTGAGATGAGGGGGCAATTTTACCGGATTATTGATCATATTTCCCGCAATAGCCTATTATATTGGAAGTACTATTTTACCCTAATTTATATTATTTGTAAGATGTATTCTGTATCTTTCGATACTTATTAATCAGATCTATATTTATATTTTTCAATCTTTCAAATATCTTTAAATATTCTTTGTATCTTGATAATTTTTCAAAGATCTTAAGTTGATCTTCCTTAGTTATGTATTCTCGAACTAATCTTTGTGAGACTTCTTCTTGTATATCTCTATGTTTAATTATAATATCTTCTACCTTTCTTATTTTTCTGCTAGTTCTTACAGAATCAAATCTTATATTATGATTACAAAAATAATCTACATCTTGGTATATTTCTTTAATTTTTTCTTTACCAACAGGAAATATATTTTCAGACTTTTCAGCTAATTTAAATAAAAACGAAATATCTTTCTTATCTAAGTATAATCTAAAATCATTAAAAGTGGATGTGGATGCTTCTGAATTGTTCATCAAAATAATCAAAGCATAAGTATATAAAAGCGAGTAAATAACTTACAGTAATCAAATAGAAGTAAACAGACTTTCCCTCCAGTATACTCTTATAGATGTTTTGCATGTACTTAATCAATCTTCTGAATCAAGTAAAGATTTAAAATCTTTTTTGAAATTATTTGGGTCCACAACTGCTTCCGCAAAAGGCTTTTCAATTAAGGTTGCATTTCTCACTCTAGAGAACTAGCCGTGTTGCCACAGACGCTATCTCACAGTATCCAGAGTCTCTATTTTCACCTCTATCCAAACTCTTTTCAGAATCAAGTTCTTACTTGAAACGAAATTTTAAAAAATAACTCACACACAAGGTGCTACAATTTTGTTAGAAAACTGCATTTTTCCCCTAAACCATTCATTAAAGACGGGTACTTTGGCATGGCTAACATCCATTCAAAATCAATATTTTGAAAATCTTTTAAAATCTTTATCAGTACTGCCAAGGAATCATGAGAAATTTAACGAAATCCTTTCATGAAAGTTTTGTTAAACATAACAAACTTTACTTTGATATTCATAAACTGAAATAGTACATACCTACAATCTATATTTACATACTTTTGGTACTCACCTTATAAAGTTTAAAATTCCATAAGTGATTATCTTATTACAAGTTTTGCTATCTTCAAGCTATCTAATATTTTTTTGAATACAAGTGGTGTATACAGATTACAAAAGATATCTCTCTCAGATGTGTTTCTTCAGAGTGTTTAAGAGATAAGTTGTTTCGAGATGTCTTCCTTATTCCTTCTTGCCTCCTT